TGTAAAGTGGTTTATGTCTGCACGTGCGACCATCTGGAATTATTATATAGATTTTTATGCCGAGTCTCACATATCTTAAAAGGAATTTGGTAAAGTTTTAGCTTCCTACATGAAATAGTTTTTGAGATAGAACGCCACCAATCCAGAATCGTTGTACAGGGCGACAAGTTTTTCGCAAAGTATATAGGCGAATAAGGATGTGAAAAGTGTCCCAAAACCAATTTGATAATCGCGATACTCATTTAAAAGAAAAAAAAAGCATCGTAGGTAAAAAAAAAAAAAAAAAAAAAAACTCCTAGGGCAATCTGTTAGAGATTCCAGGAGAACCGTGTTTTTAATGTTTTGTTTTTCTCTATTTGTATTGCGTGTATTATGCTGAAAGACTAGAGAGGTGAAGAAAAATGGTTGAATTTGAAGGTATTTTTGTGAACCATTTTTTCACCAAATTCAATTTAAAAAAATGAAATTGATTTTCGACATGATAACGTTGGAATACTGGTTCAGTTTTCCCCCTAGAATGTATCCCATAACATTCTATACCATATATTCTTTTCAGATTTTTAAGCAATGTGGACGAGAGTGAAAAATAATTAAAACCCGTTTTATTAGTCGAAAATATTGGAATTCGCGCCAAAATGTGATTGGAAAAAGAATCATCAATGTTTAAACAATTTCTATTTAAATTATTGAAGAGTCTCAGCATGATTTATAACTTTTTGCTGACACATATTTGTTTATGTGGAAAGTATTTACATAAATATATCGAAATAAAATCATCAAACCCCATTTGTGTTTAGATTTATGTATTGTTTCTTCTAGAAATCAAATTATTCTGGTTTAGGTATATTAATCATCGATGTTTCTAATATAAATCAAATTACTGAAATACACCTTTTTCTCGCTATTCAATGAATCTTATAACAAGTTTGCGTTTATTAATGCGCCTTGGGAACATTGCATCTAAGTCACCGCAAAAAATTGTTAAAAAATTCCAGACTTTAACTTTGACATAATTTGCTTAGTATTTGAGTAAAAATTCTGAAATTTGGCTCGTAACATAACAACATTACATTGTTTCTTAATGAATTATTTCAAAGTCTTAGCTACTACCAGTACTTCATAATTGATGTTTAAATTCAATGATTTTGGCAAAAATTCCCGACCAAAACATGGTATTTCCTGCCTTCTTAAAAAAAAGTTTAGAAATTCTTTCAAATATCTCTTTAGAAGAGTTTTCAAATCTTCTAAAAAAGTTCATCCATCGGAGGCATACAATGCCGAAAGTGAGTAAAAAAATATTTTCATGAAATAATTTAATACATGTCATTCGAAAGACTACATTTAGCCACTAGAAAAGTGGGTTCAGGTGCTAACGCTAACATACAGTACCACAAATTTGGAAGGCATTTTAACCAACAAAATATCAACATTGCATAACATTTGCTTTTTAAGCTGATTTTTTGCATTGGATTATAAATATATTGATTGCATAGCGAGAAAAAAAGTGTATCAGTTTGTTCAGCTTCATTTTGTGAGCAATAAAGAGGAAGAAAATATTGTTTACCAAAGTTGCAAAAATAATATATTCGTTTCGCACAACGACGAATTGGGACACACAAACGGATTATCTATAAAACTATTTCACCTTTGAAGCAACAACTTCATAAAAAGTCCTTTGAGACATGTGGAACTCAGTATACTACATCTCATTAAAATCCGAAATGTAAATTCTTGGCTATCCGGGAGACGCCGCGTCGTTGGCTGGGATACCGACGTTTCGCCTGACATGTCGCAGGCTTCCTCAGGGCAGTCGAGAGGCAAGAAAGCAAGCTCAATTGTTTCATTTTCATGATTTTTAACATCCACCCCGATTCGTCACTGCCCTGAGGAAGCCTGCGACATGTCAGGCGAAACGTCGGTCTCCCAGCCAACGACGCGGCGTCTCCCGGATAGCCAAGAATTTATGGATTCGAGCCGCGAAAGCTTACATGAAAATCCGAAAAGGAGAGCCATAGACCACTTGACATGGAATGACCATATGGTGCTTTGACGTTCATTTAGTGGAATAAAATAAGTGAAAACGTCAACGTCTAACCGCCATCGAGAGGCAAGAAAGCAAGCTCAATTGTTTCATTTTCATGTTTTTTAACATCCACCCCAATACAACAACGTAACAAATCGTTTTAATATGAAACGGTGTCAACGAATGGAAGCAAAATGCTGTTATGTAATTGCTATCGTTCATACTTAATTTTCTGTGAAATTAACTTTATTTAAAAAAATTATAAAGTATTTTAGTCGTTGAAAAATGTCGTATTCTTAAATAAAGCATTTTTTTCTAAGTTTTTTTTTTTCAATTTATATTTTTAAGTTTTGTTAAGATGAGGACCCTCATTCTTCGTAGTATGATGGTCGAGTGATTTGGAAGACGGTTGGGAGACCCACGATGAACTTTAGTTTCTCGACCTTGCGCTTAATGATCGATAAAACTGGTATCTACGGACATTAATTGCGGTGCAATTGGTGGGGGATGCCCGGGAATCTCCACGGTCAGAAAGTTTATAGTCCCTTGCCGAAAACGTATTATTCTTTCCAGTAACACAGTGCATTGTGGTTTCCATACCTCCAAATTCTCAAATGACGTACATTGGAAAAGAAAATATAGATTCGTAGAAATCTGAATGTTTATTGGGCTAGTTGTCTTCGATCAACTGACATGATAACAATCAGAAAACACACAGGTGTGTGTATATAATGCATTTCTTGCAGTAAAAAATAAAGCGCAAGTTGCATCATGTTACCTCTGATGCACGTTTATTTGTTAAATTGAAAGTTCCTGCATTTCCTAACCACCTGGCGACGTCGCCACATCTGAACTAGCGCCGTGCAATTGCATTGTATTTGAGTCGGGCGGCAAGGCGTACCGATTATACGTAGGTTAATACCAAAGGGAATTTTACTCGCCCTAAAGTGAGTTCCTAGCGGTCATCCCTAACTCCCCTCGTTGGGGTTGCTCTTAGGCAGTGCTTGTCGACTCAATGCTCTGTGACGTCTCAAAAACTGTTCTCCTGCTCCGAACGGAGCGACCGAGCAAAGGCAGTACAGTGCCGAACAAAGGCGCCGGGCGTACAGTGTTCCACTGACGGTACGGAAGTGGGGGAAAAGGTTCGCATTACGTTTTTAAATGGTATTTATTATTTAAATGTTTATGGTTCTATAAAAATATGGAAAAAATAGAACGTAGATTATTTCATAACACAAAACAATATCCGACTGCATCGTAGCCAGTAATTCCATTTCCTTTCTTCTGACACAAAACATTATTGGAATAGACTGTTTTAACATTCTAAAACAATATTTTATACAGTTATGTAATATAACCATTTTAGTTCGTCCTGAATCAATAACACAGGCACACAAAATAAAAAATATTGTCAGACCCAAAGACTTAACTCATGTTTTTTTGCACATGTCGATGCATTGAATCCGAATCCGAAACCAAAATTGTAACGCTCATAGCGAAACATTTACCCAATTGAGCCTAGGTGGGGCCGCCCTAGCAGATCAGTGATACTAGCTCTCCACCACTTACAACGTGCTGAGACTAATCCTCAATACCCCATGAGTATCTGTCCCTGCCTTGTCGAAGACAAAGCTCTTGGGACCACCATGGCTGTGAACCCAAGCAGTTCGGAGCCCCCAGGAAATCCCCACGTGTGGGACCGACTTGGTGTAGATAGCTGCCGGCTAGTCTGATCGGTCGGTTTCCGTGGTTTCTCCGACCAACACCAGGCGAATGCCTGAGAGCAGTATCGTAAGAAATGGGCCACGCACTGCGCGCGATTCTTACTACTTCATTGTCATATTCTCACCCCTTATTTACACACATTAACTCTTTCATTCACCATACTACCAAACATGCTGGGAGACCAGTCGGGAGCGTAGAGCATGTCCCAGCTGGGGGCGGTGCCCTGCTGGTGAGAGATGCCTTGTGGGAAAAAAACAGCAAGCCGAGGCGTTTGTCGGTTCCTGATATCGCCATCCAGTGGGGAAAGATCATTGACACCTCCAACGATGAATTTTGCACTACGCGTACGGGTCTAATGACTTAAGCCGCTGATGTTCCTGGAATCATTAATCAATCAACTCACGCGTAGGTCGGTGCATCTCACAATTCAGTGGAGAAGGGAATACCATCTCTTCCCGGGATAAAACATTCTCTACACCTGGCATGTCAAGGGCGCGGGAAAGGTAACTTGATTTCTAGAGTTCGCGGACACTGCGTGCGTAGCATCTACCACGAGATTTAAATGTAAGGATTGTAAGAATTGCTCGGGGGTGGCAGTGCGTCTCTGTATATCTGGCCCAACTGTTAGGGAAGAAGACAGTCTTATTGCCTCGAAATAGTATTAATTTCCATTATCTCTTCTGTGGTACTAACTACCTAGATTCAGGTTTTACAAAGATTCTTGATTGTTAAAAGTGCTGTCCGCTGATAAGACACTTGTAAATTTATTTCACGTTATTGCTATACACAACAAATAACAGAATTATGTAACCAAACATGACGCAAAAGGAAAAAAATAAAACAAACTATGTATCTTTCAAACGTATTTCTGCCCCTTGACAAAACTATATTCATGTCAGAATTTAAAAAGAATATAAACATGGAAATAAATATATAGTAAGATATAGCAGCATAATCCAGTATGCTCTTGTTTGATAGAAAACATCGATAAAACATAAAATAACTATTCTTCGTGATATTTTTGCACACATTGTTCATAGCCTCCCTGCTACAATTTGCATAGGGTACACCCTATCGCAGGAGCGCCTGGTTTCCCAAGCGGGCAAGTAGCGCGGGAGCAATTTGACGTGCCTGTACTACACTAACGGGACTAATGAGCATAGCAGTCCACTTCCCTGGAAACAAACGGAGCCCCAAACCCGTGTACTAACGGCACTCATCTTGGCACTTACGAATCGCGTTTGAAATCTAGGCACCCGGTCGGGGTTTCCAATTGCCTGCCAGGGCGTGTATAAGCGGGACTACGACACAAGACCGCAGCCCCAATGGCCAGAACCTTCAATGGTAGCAGCTTCTCGGGTAAAGGAGCACGCAGGAGAGCGCATGCGTCCAGTAAGTGATAACTGTTTAGTGCGCCATCGTTGCCTCTCCCTTGTCAAGCACTTTGTGACAGTAATGTCGTTTTGAATTTTTTTCGTGAATTTCCATATTATGTATTATATCTTTTAGCACTTCTTATGTTTAATGTATACTTGTTCTTTCTTTTACAGGCAAGTACCACAGTCAACCAGTGGGGCTGGACACCACTGGAAGTGGAGACTTCGATTCTGGTAAGATTTTCCTCGATGGTCTCTTAAGCTTGTTAGGTTCATTTGTGGTGTATTCAGTGATCTATTGAATTACATCTTCTTTTTGGATTATAAATTTGTGTAGAGATATTCGAAATGAGGTTACATTGAATTGTGACATAAAAAGGATGTGTTAATACGTCTTGGATTATTTCATTTATTGCCGCTTTCGAGACTTTTCACATTGAAAAGGCCCTTTTCATCCTATCCATTCGCAGCTATTTGTTGATTTACATTCTTCTAACTTGCTGAGTTTTTAAAATATTGACAATGATACCTTTTTGCTCGAATATGAAAACTCCTTTGGACGTGGCTGAATGATGTCAGCATATCGTACTTCATCGCATCACTACTCTGCTACTACCGTATTTAGCTATCGTCGAACTCACTCAGCTTTCTAATTCCATGACAACACTTATAATTGATTTTCTTGACAATGAATCAATACTATCAACCCGAAATATATAAACGAAACGAAAAACTTTCATTCAAAATAATCGAGGCGCTTGCGCGATCGCCTCGTGAAACCAATTTCCTAGAAAATATCGAGTTTATTGTAAGGAGATTGCAATGCTTTCTCTATATTAACAGAAGATGTAGAAAGTGTCACGTGTCAGGCAGTTGTCGCAGCTAGCGCGATACCTTAGAAAATCGTTTGTGATGCTCATTACAGGTTACGACTGAATGAAGATCACTCTTCTAACTTCTGGTTATCTTTTCTAGCAGAATGAAGTCGTAGGCTTCCGCGACCAGAGTCATGTGGGTGATCTGGGCTGTCCGGGTGACGCCGCGTCGAAGGCTGAGTTGCCGACGTTTCGACCGTCCTGCATACCAGCCCTGAGGAAGACCACGATGGCATACCAGCCCTGAGGAAGACCACGACAGGATGGTCGAAACGTCGGCAACTCAGCCTTCGACGCGGCGTCACCCGGACAGCCCAGATCACCCATCTTTTCTAGCAGTCTACCTTTTATATTTAACAGTTATTAACAGTTTAATGAATAATAACCATTATATAACTCGATATTTTCGACATTTCTTCGCACTAATCGTTTGTATATCAACTAGTTAGTGGCCCGGTGTGTTTTTTGATGTGGTACGATTCTTACTTCTTCATTGTCATATTCTCACCCCTTATTTACACACATTTACACTTTCATTCACTATACTATACAGAATTACGTAACCAAACATGACGCAAAAGGGAAAAAAATAAAACAAATTATTTATCTTTCAAACGTATTTCTGCCCCTTGTTGCTGACTAACTCATTGTTGCTCATTCTCAAAACTTTTGGAGTGACCTTCGTATTAACAGTTTCTGGTGAAAGTGACGGACCTGGTAACAGGGTCGACTGTTTCTGGTGAAAGTGGTCTATTTATGTATTTTCTTCACCTATGCGCACGTAAAAGTATAGAGCGATTTAGATGTGATAACACTTACCCTACTTAGCACAAACCAAGCCTCCTAGGCCCGGCCGACTTGACGCTCTTCAAAAGGTTTTATAGCTTCCGAGAACGTCTTAATTTTGTGTTTTTCCCGTATTATCATTTTCCCTTAAATAATAATTGTAATAATAATTAGCTAATAGTAGGATTGGTGTATATTTAGTTATGTTTGACATGCTAGTACAAATCTGAAATAATAATAATAATAATAATAATAATAATAATAATAATAATAATAATAATAATAATAATGACATAAGCAGGCTAATGTTAGCTGAGAAGCTAAAAGAGAAAATCCAAGCATGAGCTCAAGGAATTTGACATTACAAACGTCAAATAGATTTCTATGTGCACAATCGGTTGTTTGAAACAGACGCGAAGAGATTCTATCGCAATTTGACTCACAAACCGAATGGCAATGCTGCCACTCCTTCAAAATATGACGTCAAAGCATTTTGGGCAGAAATCTGGGAGGAAAGCGGATTTGAAAACAAAGGCGCATCTTGACTTCAAACTAAAGTTGATGCTGCCGATGAACTTGTGGAAACAGTGGAACATGTTCACGAATTCTCGGAAGAGAACATCTTCCAAGCAATTAAAAACATGGAAAACTGGAAATCCCTCGGGATTGGTATCCAGAATAATTGGATAAAACAAATTAACAGCAATACATTCTCATTTAGAAACGGCTGTTAATACAATTTTAGAAAATACAAAGAAACTCTCGAAATAGCTCCCATACGATACCACGTATTTACTACCCAAAGCGGGAGATAGCTCTTTGGCGAAGAACTTCTGTCCAATCACTTGTCTGCCAGTACTGTACAAAGTTATAACTGCAGTCATAGCTGACAAAATGTCCAGACACCTAGAGATGAACCATCTGTTGCTAGTTGAACAAAAAGGATGTCGTAAAGGTTCTTATGGCTGCAAGGAAATCTTGCTACTAAATAAAGTCAAATCTTGAATGATGTAAAGAAACGAAAGCGTAATTTAAGCATGGCTTAGTTTGACTACCTTTGAATTGTACCACACGATTGTATTTTGAAGATTCTGGAGGTGCATCGATTTTATCCTAGACTTATTGGGTTTTACAAGGCTAGTATGAAGTCGTTAAGTACCAGGTTACTAATATATAGCGGAAAGGAAGCAGTAGAAACTAGAAGTATTCAGATCAACAGTGGTATTTTTCAAGGAGATTCGCTATCCCCTCTGCTGTCTTGGATTAGTTTGATCCCACTATCGAGACAGTTGTCGCAAGCTAACTTTGGTTACAAGCTTCATGGTGATGAAAGACCACATTTGTTTTACATGGATGATCTTAAAGTGTTCGCTAAGAATGAAGCGATTTTCTTCGGAATGCTGTCTGTTGTAAATGACTAGCAATGACATCTGCATCACGTCTTGACAAATGTGCAAAAATCAATTTAAAGAGTGGCAAAGTGACGTCACAGATCCTTGATATGCACACTGTGATTCAAGATCTTGAGCCAGGTAAAACTTACAAATGTCTGGGCATTGAAGAATGCGAGACCATCTTGAACGACACAATGAAGGAGAGAATTCGTATGGAGTATTACAGAAGAGTGAGACTCGTCCTGCAGTCCGCTCTGAACTCCAGGAATAAAATATCTGCAATTGGTAGTTTGGTGGTACCTGTAGTCGAGTACAGTTTCGAATTCGTGGGATGGACTGAGCAAGAGATTCAAATCATGGATTGATAACGCTGCAACCTGGAGTAGATATTCAGCCGACCCAAAACATCCGAGCCGTGGTGTGAAGGAACGGCAGAAACAAACCATGCTGTTTGTACTCCATTCGAAATATTTTCCCCGTCGTCGGACGGGGAAAATATTTCGGATGGAGTACAAAAAGCATGGATGGTTTCTGTTTGCAAACTTGTCTTTAGCGAAGATGTGATCTCTTCTATACGAACGCACGAACAAAAGATATTTAAAAATTTGTGAAGTATGACGATAATAGAATTCGAGAACAAATACTCTAGATTTTGTTAAAATCTATTAATTAAATTAAGTATTAAATTTTCGTGCAATGTTACTATTGGTTTTTAAGTGAACATGTTACGAGAAGTACTAGAAATCCACTGATTAGTACATATTTCAATTCGGTTCTCAAAGGCGTCATTTGTGTAAACTTGGTCGGCAGCCTCTTGTTGAATCAATGGATTAAAATGTAGGCTATCTAAAGATCAATTCAGAAATATGTTGCTGAAAACTAAATACTGTTGTCCAGAGGGTTTAGTAGTGTATATGTAACTTACCTGCTTTCTCTCCGCCTCCTCTCCCTTCCTCTCTGTCCCCGGCGAGTAAAGAGTCACACACGAAATACATCGGTTTCTGATTTGCTTCGGGATACGTGTTTCGGATCCACGAGGTCTCTGCACGCTACCTTGTTCCGAAGCCGTGGCTCAAAGTGCACCCTCGCCCAAATATGCTAGCAACGGATGGGAGCGAAATGGGGAGCAATGTGACACGGCCATCGCGCCAAAATCCCAAGACGAGGGGGGGTACAAAGTGGACCCCTTCGGGAGGTTGGAAACTCGGAGTTCCTGTCGAATAATGTCACTTTTGAGCCTCTGTAAAACGACCAACGAATTATATAATATAACCTTAGATTTGCATAATCGTATCATAATCATGAATTTTTCAATTTTCTGCGCCGGAAACTTTTTTTCTTTTTTTTTTCGAGACCACTTGTTTTGCACGGGTGATTCATGTAACATTACCAATATTCATTTAATTTTGAAGCTTGCATATCTTTTCTTTGCGATGCTTCAGTCTCGGTAACACTGCTAGATAGAGTAGAGTTCCTTTCTACATCTCTTTTTGATTTTTCTTCTCCATATAATGGCTTGCAGTAGCGGACTCCTCACCCGATTCTCTGGTCAGGTAATGAACATTGGCAATTAAGCTAGTTTTGACCTTTTCAGTCTATACGAATAATAAATTCACAACTAAAAAACGCAAGGTTGCCCAAATTGCTTCAACACACCTGCTTTGACCTGCAGATGAACGTCTTAATTTTCTCAAAGCCACGTGATTTTTAATTAGGTTAAATTTACGTGATTTTTAAGGTGGTTAGAGCGAGATACGTGTTATGTTCAACATGCCTTTTTATTCTGTTAATCGAAAGATGAGAGGTTCTTCTATGGTCTGGTAGAGTTTGAATCTATCTTACCGTCTAGTTTTCACGAAATGAGACCGTAATATGTGTTTTAATACGGGCTCTTACCTGACAAATCTGAACTGAAATTTTAAAATTGTGAGAAAATTAACTGTTGAAAATGTTTTTAAAAACTCTTCTTTAGGTACCTAGCATCTTGAAGAATCAATATGCACAAGTTGAAGGACATTACCGTTTCAAATGGGAGAAGTCTAAATCAGTCGAAAGGTAGACGTTCGCGCGGTTTCTAGAGGATCGTCACTGTGCCTCACAAGTCGGCAACACCGTGCGCGCACGGTGATAATACAACCGCTATCCGTAGCCGAATTGCTTAACTATGCTCTGCGAAGATCCCTGCCCGAAGGGATACAAGGCGATG